GAAGGGCCTCTTGTATTTCTTTAAAAGGAAGATAACATCAATTACACCTAATTACATATTAATTACAGTGTTTACTTTCCATTCTCTGCATGAGTTAATATACACAAGTAAAACATGCTATCAACCAAGTTTTACTATTTTTACAATAAATTTTAAAAATTTTATAATGTATTCTGTCCATAATTGTATATTTTAATGTTTTAATGTGTGTTATAAATGTTGAGTGTAAATGCTTATATAAATAATCTCAACGACTAGTAAGTTATACTGAAGAATTGTGATATTTTTTAAATAGTTACATTTTTGTTTTATTACAGTGTCTTGAAAAAGGAATAAAACCATTCCGAAAGCTCGACAAAAAAGTCAAAAGAGTGTTTTTTTAACATCCCGGCCAATATTCTGACTGCAACCCTAATAAACTGTGTTATTTGTATATATATATATATATATATATATATAGTGAAAAAGCGATGAACGCTTGTAATCAACGCTGATCAAATAGAATACAATACTCCAATATTTGGGTGTGCAGCGGAAGATGGGACAAAGAAGTACTCTTTTTAGTTAACCAAGCTTTCGCAAATCTTTATTTGCATCATCAGGGTGCTACAATAAACAGAATAAGTATAAATTACAGAGTAAGACTTACTTTGCCTCTTACACTAATTGAGGTTAGTTGTCTTGATGTTTATTAAATGAAACTGATAACTCATTTGACCCCTACAACTATGGCGAAAATTATCCAAAAATTGATTTAAAACCTTCTTTAACATACATATAACACTTAGAACACACATACATAAACATTTAAATAATTTTAACATAATTTTATTTAAATTTTTATGTATGTGTGTTCTAAGTGTTTTATGTATGTTAAAGAACGTTAACGGAAGGTTAAATTGATTGTGTAGTTTATGTTTTAAGAAAAAATGTTTTTTTTTTTGGTACTCATTATTTTGTTACAGGATAATGTTTAGTGTAGTTATAAAATAACTTAGTTTTTGAGGCTGTTTCTTAGTTAAATTTTTTATACGTGATAAGTATTTCAAATATTTGTTAAATTTATGTTATAGCAAATTAAACGTCTTTCCGTTATTGAAGTCAGTTTTTTTAATATAAATAAATATCAGCGTCTAATTTTGCAAAACAAATTGGGGTCAGTGTGATCCCAACTCACCATACACGTAACAAAAAATGGACCGCATCAGTTACGAGTTAAATGGATTGCCGAATATTGCTGTAGATGCTGCTTAACTGATCCGTATCTGCTTTGTAATTTATTACATTTTTTGTTTTGATAATATAACACATTTCTAGAAACAGCTAATTAGCTGTCAGGCATCATTATGATCTGGGCATAAGTTCCTCTATAAGCTATTTCGGCTATTTAAGCTACTCTGTAAAATAAATAACACCTTAAAATTTATCAGGTAAGCTTATTATTTTCTGTCGATTTCCTTTAAGGTTGCGTTTGTTTTTATTTTGTCAACCTAATGTAAGCTCTTATAGCTATATTTTAAAGAGTTACAACATTTTTTTTAAGAAAAATTATAAATCTTTGTGCACTTATATCTTGTGATTTTGCAGTGCCATCAGCTATCTTAGTTATGAGGATATTTACATGAGATGTTGAAAATATTCAATGAGTTACGCAATTGAACTGTTACCTATTCGACTATAATTTTTTTGTGTGAAATTATTTTTTATTGATTTAAATGACAAAAATTTGTAAAAATATTCAAAATTGCAGAATCCACTCACTTTAGCTCGATGTGGCCACCTTTTGCCTTGACTATGGCCTTCAAATTATCAAAAAACGAGTTGCATGATTCACGAGTATAATTGCTTTCTTCAGCGCATCCATACTGGCATATTTTTTAGTCCTCATCTTGGTCTCCAAAATGGACCAGATGGAATAGTCCATCGGATTTGCGTCTGGCGAATTCGAAAGCCATTGTGTGGATGAAATGAAGTGTAGAACATGGTTTTTTAACCATTCTTTGTTCACACTAGCTTTATCAGAGAGTGCCGAGTCTTGTTGGAACGTTCATGGTCTACAACCGAAATGTTTACGTGCCCACGGCTTTAAAGGAGTTTCTAAAACATTTTCCCGATAATAAGTTGCATTGAATATATATACCAGATTCAATAAAAATGATTGAAGAGCGTCCATCGGCGGTTACAGCTGTCCATACCATTGTTTGAGATGGGAAATTACTTCGGGTGGCCGTTCGTAAGCGGAAATTCGCCACGTTCGTGCAGGTGTAACAACTCCCTTGCTCTTTCAAGCCAAACTTTTTTTTTACTTTGGTGTAAGATTGTGTGCTTTTTGAAACTTGTAAGGCTTGACATTGAGCTCCTTTTTCAATATTTGTTGCATGCTTCGCTGGGATATTTTCAGTTCTTTGGCTATTTGATTACCACTACGACGTGGATTTCGCTCAAGTCGAGCCTTCACTTTCCGAACCATTTCAGGTGATGTTGCTGTTTTTTTTTTCGTTCACCACCATAGCATTTGGCAATGCTACCAGTATCATTATAACCAGTTATGGTGTGATACACAAACATTTTATTCACTTTGAGATATTTGAGCTGACGAACAATAGCTGGTTGTGATTTTCCAGCCAAATAAAACACTTCTTCTTCTTCTTCTTCGTCTAGCCATTCACGTCCACATCTGAACATAAGCCTCTTCAAGTCTTCCTTTCCATTGTTTTTTATTGTATGCTACTTGTAGCCAATTTTTCCCGGCAGTCCTTTTCAGATCATCTGTCCATCTCATAGGAGGTCTGCCTCTGGGTCTTTTGTGTCGGTATGGTCTCCAGGTTAAAATTGATCTGTGCCATTTGTTTAGATCGCTCCTAGCTACATGTCCAGCGTTTTCGAATTTCAACTTTAATGATTTTTGCACTACATCGGTGACTTCGGTCACCGTCATTGGTTTTCTGTCTTATCTATGTGTTTGTTTTCTTGTCCTTAAGTGATATATCCATTGCTCTTTTTATCGCGTGTTGAGTGACTCTAAGTATATTCATATTCTTTTTTGTGATTGTCCATGTTTGTGCCGCATAAGTAAATATCGGAATAATGCATGCATCAAAAACTTAAGATCTAAGATGTAATTGAATTTGTTGATTTCTGAGTATATAGTTCAGTTTACCGAATGCTGCCCAAGCTAACTTTCTTCTTTTTATTTCTTTAGTTTGAATTTTCCTATTTAGTATTATTTTTTGTCCTAACTATATATATTTTTCAACTTTTTCTATAACTTTATCGTTTATTATTGTCACGGTATCTTCGGAGTGCATGACTTTTGTTTTGTTTAAATTCATTTTCAGTCCTATTTTAGAAGATTCGGTATGTAGTTCTAAAAGCATGGTTTGCATTTCTTGTAGGTCAGTAGCTATCAGGATTAAAAACTCTCTAAAAGAACTCTTGAAAAAGGAGTTCATTGAGTACATGTTATGTTCATTCATGAAATTGAGAAGCATTTCCCTTCTATCGTTTCTTTTCCCGTAGCCATAGTTACCAATTAAATGTTCATAATCTTCCTGCTTTTGCATAATTTAGCATTAAAATCTCCTAATAGTATTTCGTAATTTGCTTTATTTGTTTCTATAGCTGTTCTTATTTTATCATAAAATATTTCTACTTCTTAACCGTCGTAGCTTTTGGTCGGAGCGTACACTTGGATCACTTTCAAAGTGGTTCTTTTATTAATCCTAATGATGAGATATGCTACTTTGTCTGATATGGGCTTGAATTCTTCGATACACTGTGTGAGGTTTTGTTTTACCAAGAATCCCACTCCAATGTATTCGTCACCTTTATGCATAAAATGTGTGCCATTTTTTAGTATTATATACTCATCACTTTTTCTTCTGGTCTCGCATACACCAAGGATATCCCATTTTATATCCTTTAGTTCACTTTCTATTTCTGGGAATCTATTGTCGTCCGTCAGTTTTCGAATACTGTAGGAGCATAGCCAAATTGTCATCTTGTGGCAGCCGGGTATTACACAGGGATTCTTAGCACCCCCATTCCGTTGGTTTTTTGATCGCTGCCGTGATCAAGACTCTGGAAAGTGCTGGGCACTGGGGGCCTTTTCTTTTTTGTCCTGTACATTGACTTGAAGCTTTGGACCGTTATCTCCTCACGCTGGTCCAGTTCGGGTTGAGGAGGGAAGGGAAGGATTAAGGTAGGTCTGGGTTGGTGGGTAGGATTTAGGGATTAGGATCCGCTTCTCTCCCGAAAGAGGATTGGGAGAAAAAGCTGAGTTCGCGTGGGCAGGGGCGCTTCCCTGAAACCGACCTGTCTTTACCGGGATCGTAAAGAGTGTCTACCCGCTACTCGTCACATTATTACGTTTAAATTCTATTGCGAATAACTTGTATGTATAAAACGTAAATGCAAATGCTTTTAACGGCTTATAAACAATATACTGAAGTGTTATTAGGCCAACTTTAACATAGCTGTGATTATCGATTTGCCAGATATATCGATGTGAAGTTGATAACAGTTTAATTGCGTAACCCTGTAAATATTATCAATATTCTTCTAAAGATGCCGAGAAAATACGAATCATTTAAACCTTAGACAAAAGGAGTTTACTATTTGTTTGTTAGGCCTTCTCTTATTAAATTGTGTCAGATGACTAGACCGATAAATAAATAAAAAAAAATAAACGTGAATTCACAATAAAAAGTGAACTAAACATCGTGTTAAAAGATGTAATATGATTTATCATAATTTATTTTTTAATATTTGTCCCAAAAAAGAGTTACAATTCCCACAATATTTCAGTGCCTAATTTTAAACATATGAAAAATCTCATCATATATATATTTAACTCACACAAGATGAATTAAAAAGAAATTTTTATGTTTATTTATTTAAGTTAAAATTGAATTGTGTAAGGTGTCATATTTACAAAAACATAATATTGAGGTGTAAAATTTACCATTAGAAAGAGTATTATTAATTTTTGTATATCTTACCTTAAAGTCCATGAGATTAGTCATGAGTTCCTTATACTCTATGGGCGCTATAGCATCAGGGACGGCTGTTTGATACATTGAAGCAGTCGACGGGTCTCTCAACCCACAATCGTAGCTCTGCATTTTTCTTAACGATAGGTTTCTCGAATGCGGAGGTTCCACCTCTCCCATCTCGTCGATGGTGTCCTGCCTAGTGATGCCAGGACTGGAAGTCGCGGACACTTTTTGTAATTTAGGAAATATCTTATTGCCAGAACCGGGAGTTAGCTGACTTCCTGAACTTCCAGACGATGATGAGCTTGGACGTTCTTTGGGGTCTTTGGCGCTTAGACTTCGGGTAAATGCTTGCGGTACAGTTGAAGTTTCAGATCCGGAATCGAGACTTGCTGATCCAAGCAATCTACCCCATTTACTTCCTCTTGCTAAATATTAAAATTTAATTAGTACCAAATATATATTCCTTATCTTCATACCTATTAACGATACCACTTACAAGACACGAAAAATAGTTTTAAATACTGTGTAATAATTATAAATTAATAATATAAACAAATAAACTTGCTTAGCTGGGAAATAAAAATACCAATCGCGAATTAAAACAGACCAAGGTATGAAAACCATAACAGAAGAGTCTCTTTTTCTCCAGGATTGAGGTTAGGCTAGAGGCCAACAACAATCGCTTTCTGGAAAAAAGCGGAACCCCAGGAACTATTAGATGGACGGAACTTACGACGACGACTCTGCAAACGAACAATGGAATTGAGATAAGAAACATGGAATGTCCGAACACTGTACCGAACTGGAGTATTCACATCTCTACTAGATATAGTAAATACGTACAAAATAGCTGTTATCCATATGTTATAGCTGCGATTAAAGCCAACACAGGGTGAGGTGGGAATTTATTGTAAACCAAAGGAACAAAATGTCTTATTATTAAGTTTAAAGCCTACTAATCACTAATTTCTAATCCCAAATCAGAAAGAAAATTAAATAGACGTATTTTATAAAAAATAATATAATACGTGGATCTAATAAAAAATGTATAAATTATCGCACCTGTTGCGGGTCTCGCCACCGTAGTTTTAACACCTCCTCCGCTGCTATCATCTTTCTCCGCTACAGCAGATAACTTTGTCGTTGACATCACCCTAGACATATTCTTGTCATTGGCTTCGTCCCCTTTTTCGACATCCGAAGGCGTAGCAGGCGGCGCAGCTGCATGTTGGCTTCGGTCTCTTCGAAATTTAGAAAATATCTTCCTAACTAAATGATCTTGGTTTTGATCCAGTTGAGGTTCGTTTTTCCGACGTTCGGCTAGCTCCTTTTCTCGTTTTACGTCCGCGACTTTTCGGAAGATTAGACGATGCCGTAGGTTATAGGTAAGAATTAGGTTTCGCGCGAAACTATTAGCAAAAGCTTGATAGAAATCTAACACTTCTAGTAGTTTGTCCCGTTTTATCGTATGTAGATCACAGTAAGTTAAAGCACGCACGTTTGCAGCAGATTGACCCACTGCATTGTCCTTCCAGAAGGAATCACCGAACACGTCACCTTTGCCTGAAAACATAAAACTGATAAGAATACAGAATCATTAAAATTTCAACACGTTTTTGTACATTAAATACAGTATATTTTAGTTATTTATTTACATAAAGGACCTCGACAACTATGTCCGTTGGTACAGAAACAATAACATTAGATATTATTAAATAAAGAAAAAAAATTATATAATCTTAACTGACTGCCAGTTAGGTTAAATCTTGTGGTAAATCAAGAGGATGTGTTTTACGGTCAGGTAAAAATTGCAAATCCTGAGAACATCAAGAAACTATGGGTAAGTTTGGTGTTGTTAATTCGGAGACTTCTAATGCTTTTTTTTTTCTAGTTAGGAAGTCCAGAGAAAGACGATAAGGCAGTTATTTTTTTCTTTTGTCATAAGTTTTATCATTACTGACCTATTATATGACAGAGACTGTTACATCGTAAGCTGAGATATTTTGGTAGGTGTGATGAATGTTTTGAACCAACTGGTGGTCAGTAAAAATTTTATTGAATAAACGGATAGATGAAAGGAAATCTGTACAAATGGTAATATGTCTGTTTTATAAAAGGTATATAAAATTGCCTCAAACGGGCTATCACAAACACATTGCAAAACGTTTTCGGATTAAACAATCCATCATCAGTGCAAACGGTTGTACATGCTAGTAGCCACCAAAATATGTGGGTAAAAACCCTTAAAAGTTATAAATTTGAAATTGTTTTACATTATTAGTGTTTCTAATTTGTGATGGTTAAGTTACCGTTGGATAGGTAACATGGTGGCGTATGACTCTACATGAGTAAAATGGTCCTGAGACGAAGTGCCTACGAGGACCTGTTGATAACTTACCTATCCAACGGTAACTTAACCATCACAAATTAGAAACACTAATAATGTAAAACAATTTCAAATTTATAACTTTTAAGGGTTTTTACCCACATATTTTGGTGGCTACTAGCATGTACAACCGTTTGCACTGATGATGGATTGTTTAATCCGAAAACGTTTTGCAATGTGTTTGTGATAGCCCGTTTGAGGCAATTTTATATACCTTTTATAAAGGATTTTAACAAATTTTTTTGTGATATATGGTATACAGCCAGCTACAGGAACTTAGTTTCCTCGTGGAATGTCTGTTTTGATGAAATATACAGGGGAAAGCATGCTACAGGGAAAACGTGTTGCCACAGAGAGCTTAGGAAATGACTTTTAGTTCTGAATCAAGCAACGCTTCACTGGATTACATTATGTCAGGATAAAGATAAAAATATTTGCTGAGACGTAGACCAGAAGAAAATTAAAGCTCTAGTTCCTAGATAGGAGGTAATATATAAGATGTATGGCTAAGAACAAATTACAATATCTTCCAGCGAATAGAAGTTAGAAGATAATCGTCATGATTATCTTCTAACTTCTATTCGCTTGCGTGAGTAGGGACTCATTTTTAAAATATATCTATTTTTAATTAGGATTATAGCAGGTTATTTATCCACTACCCACTAAATATACATATTATTAAAAATACCAGAAGAGTAGAGTCAAAGGCAGAAGATCAAGAGGTAGAGCTTCTTTACGGTCGTTTGATTCAATTAAAAAAATTATAGAACAGCTTTCAAAAGCATCTCACTAAAATTTTTATTTAAAAAATTTTCTTTATAAAAGGTATATTAAAAAAAAACCTATTTAGCTATATCACAGAGAGTTTTTGGAATAACTATTTCATCATCAGTGCTATCTGGATGTACATGTTTAAAGCCACCAAATATCTGGATGAAACTTTAAATGTAGTTATATTAACAGTTTAAATTACATCTTTGATCAATTCCTATTATAACTTAAACATCATATTTTAGAGATCATGTACTACTATAGGAATTTAGCTACCTTTTGAATCTCACTAACCTCAAAATAGAATTGAACGGTTAATCACAGTCAATCAACAATCATATTTTTCTTAGAGTACCATATCCCTACGGAACGTCGGCGACTACCATGCTTATAATATTGTTATACTGATCTCGGTCTTGTGCTACGTGTAGCAGTTGGTCCGCTGTCAAACCTGTCCACTGCCGCAAATTCCTCAACCAAGAGAGTTTCTTCCGTCCTATCCATTTCTTTCCTTCGATTTTACCGTTGAGAATTACCCGAAGAAACTCATATCTTGGTCCTCTGATTATATGTCCGAGATATTCTAGTTTACGCCTCTTAATAATATTTAATAGAGTTCGTTGATGTCCCATTCTTCGAAGAAGTTCTTCGTTTCTGGTTCTGCCAGTCCATGGAATTTTTAGTATCCTTCGATACAACCACATCTCAAACGCCTCGATTTTATTCATGATATCGGTGTTTAAAGTCCAAGTTTCACATCCATACAAAAGTACAGACCACACGTAACATCTTGTAAACTTTTCACGGATTTCCAAATTTAATGAGTTATTGGATAATAGAGGCTTGAATTTTTGAAATGAGTTTCTTGCCTGTTCAATTCTACATCGAATTTCGAAGGATGAATCTAGATTTTGGGTAATCAACATCCAAGGTATTTAAATCTCTGAACTCTCTGCAGCGGTTGTTGGTTTAATATCAGTTGGGTTGCGCCGATATCCGCTTTACTGGTCACCATGTATTTAGATTTATCGATATTTATTGACAGTCCCCAATTTGTGCATTCCATGTCAACTCTATTGATTAGCTCCTACAGATCGTCGATGTTTTCAGCTAGAATCACAGTATCTTCGGCGTACCGAATATTGTTAATTATTTCTCCTCCTATGATAATTCCTTTTTGATCTTTTAAAGCTTCCCTAAATAGATTATCAGAATACACGTTAAAGAGGATGGGAGATAGTATACAGCCTTGTCTTATGCCTCGTTCAATACTGATTGGCTTTGATTCTCTGTTTTTGGTATTAATAATGGCTGTTTGGTTCCAGTAAAGTTTGACAATAAGTTTGATGTCTTTCTCATCTAGTTGGATGCTCTGCAAGGCGGTAATTAGTCTGGTATGCTGAACGCGATCAAATGCTTTTTCAAAATCAATGAAGCACATATATACGGGTTTTCTTACCTCCCAACATCGTTGAAGGAATGTTTGCATAGAAAATAGTGCTTCTCTGGTTCCAAGGCATCTCCGGAACCCAAACTGCTCTTGACTAATTATTTCTTCGCACTTGTTGTTAATTCGGTTTAGAAGAATATGCAACAGTATTTTAACGGCATGGCTCATTAAACTAATGAGTCTACAATCGCTACATTTCTTAACGTTTGGTTTCTTAGGTAGAGGAATAAACATCGATTTCAACCAGTCCGATGGAATTTCACTGGTGTCATATATTTGATTGAAAAGTGTAGTGAGTTCTTTTGTATTGTCATTTGAGAGTAATTTTAGCCATTCGCTGTATATTGCGCATCGCTGGTTCACTGGCTTTGTTGTTTTTGGCTTGGTGTATGGCTTTTTCCACTTCATCATCCTTAAATAGTGCTTTAATGTAGTTTTCCCATTCTTCCGTTACTTCGTCTTCTAGGGATATTGCATGACCTTCATTATTCGTTAATGTTATGGGTGTATTTTTTTGTGTATTGTAACTTCTTTTATTTTATTATGTGTATTAAATTCGTCATGTTTTCGTTGCAATTCTTCTAGTTTCATACATTTTGCTCGCATCCATAACTCTTTGGCTTTCCTAATTTTTCTTCGAATCAGATTATGCAACAATCATAATGTCACCATATCCTTTAATAAGATCATGGACAAAGGAGAAGGATGCAAAATACTAATAAAAGCACCAATATATAAAGTAAAAGCAGACTAAACAATTGGAAGAAAGTCGAATCCCAAATCATGCAGGAAGTCAATACAAGATATTTATACAAAATTAGAATAGCAGAAAAAAAAAACAAAACGCATATATCGTACAAATTGAAGTAGTTGAAGGAAGCTAGGTTAAAATTAAATTATTATTAAATTAAGATCAAGAAATTGGCTATGAAATAAGGAATAATAAAAATTAATTGTTCCCAAAGAAAAAACTCCATGGTAAGATACAGAAGTGAAGAAAAAGAGTCAAGAAGACTCTATTAGCCTACGATAAGAAAATAGTAAATTAAACAAATAAATTTGCAAGAAGAATTAAAAACGAACACTGAAAACAAAAACAAATATTTCCTTAGTTGTATAAGAGGTCAAAGAATGTAGGTGAAGGTCTAAACTAGCAGTTTTGACCTTTGCAAATTCATAACAATATATTATTAATTTTTATCTAGAAAGCTGTTTACAGAAAAACAACAAATGGAATTTTAACCAGAAATGCAAGAAGTTATGACAAATAAAGAAATTAACACAAAGAAAGAAAAAATGTAAAAAGTACTTAAAATGCTAAAGAATCGAACAGCTGCATCAAATGAAATTCTTTGCATCCTAGATACAAAGATAAATAATAATTATTCAGTGTTATATTTGGTTCTACTTTTGTATGAAGCAGAAGTGTGGAATTTACAAGTATTAAGCATGAAGTGAATTAAACATTAAAAACTTAGACTTTTGACTTAGAGAAAAATTGAACTTTTTTGACAAATATTGACATGTTCGTTTTAAATGTTTTTATAAATAAACAAAAATAAATTATATAAAAAAAACAGTTGCAATAAAGTAACAATTGCAACAATTTGACAAAAGTATCTTTGCAATATCATATTTACTTTTGTCAATAATGTCCATGATAAACTGTATTCAGCCCAGGATACTCAAAAAAAGTATTGTAGCATTAATTCA